TCTATTTCATTTTCTCTTTTTGTTCTGTAATTTACTTTATATGGACTCTGTCTGAAATAAATAATAATAAATGTCGATATGGTTTTAAGGAACTGTAAATTGTTTTTGTATCAGATAGTTGTATAATTCTGTATGATTACAATATGTCGCTACTGATTCTCTTACCATTAAATCTTACCTACTGAATAGAAACATTCCGAAGAGATTATTTATCCTCAACATTTGGGATTCAAAGATCTTTTATCATTGTTGAAGTCAATCCCTGATGCTGTTATAGTGGAAGAGAGACTTACTGGTGAGTTTTCACATCAACACTAATTTAAGCAGCCCTAGACAAGCAATGGACACTTCATCTGCATATGCTTCATTCAAAGATTTATAATTTTTCACAACTTTAATAGATCTATTATTTTCTGGATATCAAAGTGTAACCACAGTTTTCTAACTCTTTATTTAACAGACATTCACATAGCAATAGAGATTTCTACAACATAATTTGTACTGTCTTATGTCAAGTGATAATAGATAATTATTGATTCACCACAGCTCAGATTTTGTTTGTAACGAAACACATTAAATGTATTCTCAACATTTGGTCATATATTTTAAAGGGGTTAATTATTCACTGGGTTTTAATTTTGCTTATTTCGCTGACTGGAAAATGTGCTAAATTGAAACCCAATGAATATGTAAAATTTAGCATAGAACACATTATCTAAATGATAAAACCGTGAATTTAAAACCCACTGAATGTGCCTGAAATGGTAAATCAGCGAAATTTAAACCCAGTGAAAATTAGTATTTAGTTCCTGTTCGGACGCAATTCGAAACGGGGACCTGTATCTTAGAAATGCCTAGACCAATCATAATCATAATCATAATCAAACTTCACACATACATCATATATGATATTATACATATGCACATCAATTTGTTTCACGGTCTGATTCAAGATGGCCGAATGTACTAAAAAATCATCAAAATCAAGCATTTCTCTGCTGTTTGCGGATGGATTTTGTTCAAACTTGGTATATACGTTGGACATTTTGTTTTAATGAATGTGGTTCAAGTTCCATA